CCCTGTGCTGTCTCTGGGTGACGCACGTCCACCAGGGGATTCCTCCACACCGGACGCCTGCCTGCTGGCCTGGGTTCTGACACCTTGTCTTACCTGCCACCAAACGTGTCCATTTTGTCCTTCGTGGTAAACCCACGAACTCGGCGGGGGGGGAGTCTTTTCCTACGCCAGAAGTATGAAAATACTTTACTTTTCTTCTGATACCTTTTGTTTAGTTTTGACAGTTAGCTATTGAATCTATGCAGAATTTATCTTGTGCGTCAGGTAGGGCTCTAAATTATCTACTTCCAAGAGGTGGATGAATCGTACCAGCAATACTTTAGAATGATCCTTCCCTCTGAAATGTTACTGATTTCCTAAATTAAACTCTCCAACCGCGCTTTAAAATCCACTTGGCTACTTCCATGCCACGCTCCTGCGTTAGCCTAGGTTTAGGGTAGATTTTAAGAGGCGGGAGAGCGAGGCCTGGACTTTTCCCTGGTTTCTGAACGCCGCCTCTCAGGCTGTGTGTCCGTCTGCACCCCCTAGGACCGCACCACCCTGCTTCTTGCTGCCACACTGCAGGTCCTCAAGCCTGCCGTCCGGCCGGCCACGCTCACACCAGCGCTGTTATAGTTTCGGGGGGGGGGAGGGGAGGGACACATCCAGCGAGTTTTCCATTTCAACAGGTGCATCTCGCATGTAAATAAGCTCCACCTTCAATTCCAGATCAGTTTCCCTGGTCTTCCATCCTGACCCTCCGTTACAATTTCACAATCTTGAATAAACCCATCTATTCCACTCTGCTGTATTATCTCTAGTTGACAGAGTGCGGATTCTCCGTCGGTTGATGATTCCTCATGGACGTTCACTACTTAACGTGGCTTTCCAGGGTATGCTCATCTCGAGGAGGAGTGGTTTTTTCCTCAGGACCCTGAGAAATAGAGAAAACGCATTTGCGTTTCCAGCTCCGTGAGTTCTGGCCTCGGTTTTCTGTGAATTCCTGTCTTTGTGATTTTGCGCCACGCTGAAGGTACAAACAGAGTCACCAGGCCCAGGGCCGGTAAAGGTCTAAGCTTATTTCGTGCGCCTCCAGTTACAGCCCCGGACAGAAAGCACGTTTCTTCATCACTTCCCCAGGCCAAGGGGCAAAGTGGATGAAACACTTCACGGGGCTGCGGCCCCCGGGGGCTCCACCCCAGCTCCCCACGACAGCCTCCGTTGTGGGCACGTGCAGCTGTCTGCCCGTGGATGCTGAGGACAGATCTTACCCCAACCTCCTTCTCTCCCCGGTGGTCAGCACAGGACAAGGCTCTACGCGGGCTCATCGCTCAGACACACTTATCCTAATTCCGCAACAGACATCGGAGCACACTAAGCACCATGTTATGTTAATACCATGTAAGCCTCTCGATAAGGGACGCGGCAGACTCCGGGGCAGGCTAGCTGGGCGGCTGCCTGGGCACGTGCTTCTACGGGTGGCCGGGCTGGTCACATGGGCCTCTGCGGCCCGGGGACGTTGCAAGCAGGTGCAGACTGGTCACCCGAGGTGGCACCCGCACTGTGTCTGTCGGGCTTATCCGTGATCGACCGTTACATCAGGGCGCTCTGCCAGGAAGCCTCCATTCTTTATTCATATTTTCAACACTTTGATATGAAACCCAGGACGTTGTATTTGAGGAAACAGTCCAGATAAAATGGAGGAGAAAATACAGATGAGTGCGTTGGGGTTTTTCTGGAATACCCACTCCGCTTCTGCCAGAGGAAGCAACTAGAAACAGGATTTGTTTCCTTGTGGGGAGGAGAGCACTCTCCACGCTCCTCGCAGGAGGCTGGACAGACCCTCTGTGGCCGTCCTCAAGAGCAGGCCCCTCGGCCTTGGGGCCCAGGACCCAGTGGTCATTGTTCCCTTTGCAAACGGAGAAACTGAGGCTGGGGAAGAACTAGCCCGAGGCCACACAGCTGATGAGTGTCCACGGGGGACTTTGTGCAATAGCAAAATGCTCTCCAGCGGTGAACGCCCTCCTGCCGTTTCTCCAGCAACAGCCCGACCGGCCTCAACCCCTTCCCAGCAGATGGCATCTGACTGAGCTGGAGGCCCAGACGTCGCACAAGACAACAAAGTGGGTGGGCAGCGCATGCCGGAGGTCCGGACTCAGGGTGACGTCAAGGAGGCGGTGGGGACACCTCAGCGGGGCCCGTCCTGAGGATCGCTCTCCACCCCGGGGCAGCCGCCTGCCCCCCGCCGGTGGTCCTGGTCCCCCTGGCTGTTGGAGGAGCACAGAAGACACACGAGCAGCCACGGATCCTGACGGATCACCAATGACAGGCGTGTCCTGAGTGGACAGAAGGGTGTGGGGGACACAGCAGGCTTGAAGAGTTAGTGGGTTTCTGTCCAAATTTAGATGGGCTTCCTCCTGACTCTGTGATCCCCCTTCTAGGAACTTATCCTAAGGGATTTAAGGGACATTTACACGAGAGTGGACAAAGGGACGTACGGAGTAGGTACTGTGCGCCATCTCCCCTCCCTCCAGAAAGTGCCTGGCCCGGGGTGGGCAGGTTGGTCTCCCTCCAAGTTTGCTGAAAGAATGGAGACACGGAACGGGGGAGCCTCCTGCTGGGAAGCCCCTCGGGGCGCCCGCCACGCCTCCGTGGCTCCCGGGCTCTCCCGCCTCAGGGCCGCCGGGCGGGCTCCCAGGTCTCCCTGTCCCAGAGGATCTTGGGCTCACAGACTGGACGGTCACTTGTCAAGGACACTTATCAGATTTCCATTCCAGACACTTCCACTTTGTCCTGAAACTGAAATCCACCCCTGCAGGATAAACACTTGTCACCACAGACAACATCCAACAGAATGAGATACAGATGCTTTGCACAGTTCCCAAATATTTTGATATGTAGCAACTGAGCCGGAGCAAGTCTGCAGGATCCAGTGCTGACCCCGCACACTCGTCTGTGACACCAGACAGCCACGTCCGAGGTGGCGCTACGGAAACGTCACGTGGCCGACTGGAGCAACCTCAGGGCTGTGCGTCCCAGCCGAGACCGTCTGACCACGGAACAGAGCCGTGGTCAAGCCAACACTCAACAGGTCTGCTCTTTGGCTCCTTCCTATGGTCAAAAGGGACGGTGGGGGGGAAGGAGGTGTCGGGGTTTCCTGTGGCTCCTGCAACAGATGACCACGAACTGAGTGGCCAAAAGCAACACAAACGTATTCTCTCAGTCTGGAGTGCAGAGGGCAGGTGGGCCTCATGGAGCTGAAAGCAAGGTGTGGGCAGGCTGGTTCCACTGGAGGCTCCAGGGAGGGGCTGTTGTCTCGCCTCTTCCAGTGTCCAGAGGCCACGGCTCCCGGACCCTCCCTCCGCGTCACAGCCAGCAGCGTGGCCGTGGCCGCATCTTCTCTCCAGGGAGGACATTGGGCCCACCTGGATCATCCATGACCACCTCCCCATCTGCAGGTCCTTAATCACACAAAGACCCTTAGGCCACGTGAGGTCACACAGCCACAGATTCTGGGGCCCACGATGTGGATGTCTTTGGGGAGCTGTCATTCGGCCAACCAAGGGAACAGGACTCCAGGCCAGGCCACCGGAGGGACCGGTGCACACGCATGTATCCCTCAGAGCTCCACAGACTGCCTGGGCAGGCGCTGGTCTCACGCCCCCGCGACGGGCAGCAGGGAGGGAGTGGCCAGCCTGCACTTGCAGTGGTCGCGGGCCCCGCGAGGGAATGATCGAGGAGGCAGAAGCTTCAGTTCTCCCCAGAGGTCAGGCCGAGCGAGGACAGAGAGACCCCGGGCCTGCGTACCCTCCCAGCTCTGAGCGAGAGCTGGTGGTGGGCCGTTGCCACAGGGGGGCCCGAGCCAGCTGAAGTCATCCCAAGGCTGGGCTCGGAGGGTAATTTCCAAAACACGTGGCCAGGAGTGACTATGAAGCTTCGGGAATCCAGGCCGTGATGCAAAACAGATGGAGAGGCTGGGGCGTCCTCCCACACAGACAGCCCCGGTGGGGAGGGCAGCGAGTGTCACTGTCCTCAGCTCTCCTGAAGATGGAAGGAGGGGCAGCATGCAGCGCCCCACCCGGCCCAGGGCCCCAGGTCGCCCCAGGAGGTCACCAGGATAGATCCTGACCCCCGCCCCAGGTGTGTCTGGGGGTGAAGGGGCTCCTGCCATCAGCAGTGGATGGGACAACGGCCCGGGCCCGTCCTGCGTCCCTCTCCTGGAGGGGGCACACGGCGACGCCCCATGCAGACCACCCTGCCTGTGGGTCTGCCTTCCCGCGCCCCCACGAACACGTCTGCACGGACACATGCACACTGGCCTGCCCAGCCTCCTCAGCTTGCACAACGCCCGAGCAGAGGGGCCTCTGATGCATGTTCGGAATTGTGCCAACGTGAACTCACACTTGCTGCATTGCCTAGGAGTGAGAAGGCCCAGGGAGGGGTGGCTGGGGAAGGACCCCTGTGCAGGAAGGGCAAGCGAGAGGAACCGACCGCCCCCGTCCGTGTCTGGACGGGCTCACTGCTCAGATGACGCTCCAAGTCTTTGTTCTGTTTTGCCTTCTTTTGCTCTGCTTTCCATTTCTCAACAGTCTCTGGCTGAGAAAAGCGGTCAGTGGGGTATGAGTGAGCATTAACCTCTCCCTCTAGGAGAAGAGAGACCTCGGGGTGGTGCTGGTGCAGCCCCCAGCATAGCCCGCTGCCACGCCCCCCGGCCCCCCACAACGGGTGTCTGAGCTCAACGTGGAATCTGTCCGTGTGAGATTTCTGCCACCAGAAACACGGGCGGACAGGCAGCTGCCGCACTGAGCAGGGACAGGGTGTACTCCGAGCTTGATAGCTGCCTCCTGCCACCACCACCAGCTCCCCCAGCGGCCGCCCTCCCCGGCCCGCGTGCCCCGCGATCCCAGCGAGCCAGGCCGTGCTTATTGCAGTGCTTATGCGTTTGACCCCTGAACACACGTGAAGCCGGGCTGCCGTCTTATCAGGCTCCCGAGCGTACGCGTCACCGATGGGGTGCCTGAGGTTCCCCCGCGGACGCTGCGGAGCATGTCAGGGGATTTTGCATGGTGCAGATTTTTAGGAACACGTCTGTCACGCTGAACTATCCATATTCGTATGATGTGTGAGTTTTCCAGAGAACACCCTTGGCTACGGTGAGGCCCCTGGGGCTTCCCTCCATCGTCCCTGGGACCCCAAGTGTCCCCTGGTGCCCTGCCCTGTGGGTGGGGGTGGGGCAGACCAAGGCTCCCTGTTCCAGAGACACAGGTTTGCCACCTGTGTGGTTCGCCACGTGGATTCTATATGACCGACAGGCAGGGGCAGGACTGCGCCAAGGTCTGCAGGAAGATGCCCCCAACCTACACGTTTATATAGGCCTTTTAAAAAATTTGTTGAAGTCACGTCTGCACCCAACGCGGGGCGGGGCTCAAACTGACGGCCCCGAGATCAGGAGTCGCAGCTCCAGCCACTGAGCCAGCCGGACGCCCCCGCACAGTGCTGTGAATCCAGATGGAGAGAAAGCTACAAAAATCTCTTCCTGCCACACAACAGGATTTTGAGGACAAATAGGAATTCAGCCCCAAATTGGCTGCTTTCTCAAACCAAAGGCTTGCGCACCCCCTGAGTGACTTCCACGGCTGGTTAAGGAACTCCGTCCACTGAACAAGAATTCACTCCCCACCGCCTGAGTCCTGGGCACGCTGGCCTCCGAGCCAGAGCAGGACGAGGCCCAGACTCAGGCGCTGGCTTCGAGTCACGGCCGACGGGGCACCGGCGCACGGAGTGCAGAGTGGAGAGCGGGTGGGCTCCCGTGGCACCGAGGGCGCAGCGAGACGAGCAGCCGCGTCCTCGGCCGGCGCCAGGCCCTCGGGCAGCCGGGCGACAAGCTTGGCCCCGGGAGGCCCTCCCCGGGAGACGGGACTGGCGGCGCAGAGGGGGTCGGCGCCCCGCGTCACTCGGCCCCGCTGCGGCCGGACCGGGCTTCTCTCACCTGAGTGAACGCCTCGGGCACCTCGGCTCTATCAGCAATTCCGGATTATCTTCGTTAACTCCGTCCCCTTACGGCCACAACCTTTACGCCAGACTTAAAGCCCGCACCCTTCTTAGAACTGGCTCCACCTCAGGGTATAAGAAGCCCGGGAAGCTGAAGGCTCGCTCGGTGCTTTGCCTCGAACGAGGCGCGAGCTTTTCCAGAGCAGCTGGCGACGCCCGGCTCCGCCCCCGCCGTCTGTCCACGTGGCGGCCGCACAGGGGAGGGGGCAGGACCGGAGTCCTCGGGCCCCACGGTCGGCACGTCCCCCCACCTCCGCCAACAGGCGAGGAGGTGCCCAGAGCAAACTCCTGCCTCACGGGTGGACGGGGACCGCGACAGGCGGGAGCAGAAATCCCGAGTCTACAGGGAAGCTGCTCCCGCCTGGGCTGGGGCCTCACACCGGCACCTGGGCTCCGAAGCTCAGGTTCCTACGGACGGGGAGGGCTTCCGGAGAGTTCCAGATGGCGCGTCGGGGGGCGGCGGCCATGCCACTTCCTGTGGCACCCATTTCATGCGTGGGTTGGAGGGTCGGGTCGGCAAAATGAAATCCAACTGGTCAGTTACTTGAAACATTATTTTCGTAGGTTAAACAATACGGCTCTATCCTGGGAGCCGGTGTAGGACTTTAAAGAAAGCCAGCACCCTGGTCGCCGCAGGGGTCATGCCACAGCCCTGCGCTTCCAGAACACACCGCGGGTGACACAGACAGCTTCCTGCCCACGGGTTCTGGGGCGTGTGCCTGGCGCAGGCGTTTCAAAATCACCTCTGGCGTCCAGTGTGGGTACAGCTCCGGTGAGACACCGCGATCCCGAGGGAGGCGGGAGAAAACGCCTGGTCATTTTGGGGGGAGAGCCACTTCAAGCAAGGAAATCCTCCTCCTCAGCGTGGTTCTGTTTGTCACCACATCTAAGCGTAGAATCCATGCCACACAGGGACCCGTCCACCCATGGCCTGAATATGTCTGGTGTGCCCAGCATGCACGGTGGCCACCCAGGGGGACACTCGGTCCTCCCCGCTCCGTGAACCATCACCGCTCTGTCCGGACACCCCCGCGACTTATCTGTTAGCACAGCAGACGCTCCGAAACTAAACTTGCCATCGTGGCTGCAAATGACATTGTAAGAGTCGAGTGAGTCCACAGGAAGTAACCCTACAAATAACAAGCCGTGCACACAGATGGCGCTGCTGAGTCAGCGGGTCCCGAGGGCAGCTGGGTCCGTCTCTGAAGTCTACCAGACGCTGAAGGAGAAAGTCGCTCCAAATCAGAGGCCCTCAGAAGTAAACGAGGAGGAAAGATGTTTCCTTACACATGTTACTCTGAGCCCAGAACCAGACGACATCCCGTGAAAACAAGACCAGACCCTCTCATAAGCACAGATGCAAACTTCCCAACAACGTGCAGCCACATCGATTCCAGCAGCGTGTGAAAACGGCAGTACGCCATTACCAAGCAGGGGTTCGTCCCAGCAAGGGAAGGTGACTCAGCAGCTGAAAACCAGCCAGGGTCACTCACCCCACAAATGAAAACAGGAGAAAAAGTATGAGATCCTCTCAAGAGGTCCGGTGAAAGCTTTTGACAAAACTGAGCATCCAAATATGACAAAAACTCTGAGCAAGTCTGGGGGAGAAGAAACCGCCCCCCATCAGTCGGAGGCACCTGTGTTAATGCCATCCTCGGTGCAGAGATGGTGCGCGGCCCCCGAAGATGAGGCACATGGCCCAAAGTCTGCTCTCCTTACTTTCACGTTACGATGTGCTGGGGTCTCAGCCCGTGTAAAAATAGACCTTACAAACCTGTACTCACAGACAATGGGAATGTCTACCTAGATAATCCCAAGGAATTACAGGGGGGAAAAAAAAGGAAATAAGCAGGTCTCAGGATAAAGGTCAAACTCAAAAATCAGTTGTGTCTCTCTGTATCTGCACAAAAGATTGGAAATTGAGAAAAAATTTAAATATCATGTATAGTCGAAGCATAAAATGCGTAGGAATGAATTCAACAGAATAAGGGCCAGGCCCAGCGATTAAAAACCGCTGCACATCGTAAACACAACAGAACACAACAGAAACGGCAGGACACGTAAATGAAGCAAGAAGGGAACTCTGTGTGGATCAGAGCAGTCGACGCAGTGAGACATGGCTCCTCCCAGGCTGGTCAACAGGTTTGAAGACAAGCACGTTGTTTTGGTGGAAACTGGAAGGCCAGTTCTTTTAAAATTCATATGGTAACACAAAGGATCTTTCATGGCCAAAGTTATTTTTTTTTTTAAGATGTTACTTATTTGTCAGAGAGAGCACAAGCAGGGGGAGCGGCAGGCAGAGGGAGAGGGAGAAGCAGACTCCCCACTGAGCGGGGAGCCCGATGCGGGACTCAATCCCAGGACCCCGGGATCATGACCTGAGCTGAGGGCAGACACTTCACCGAATGAGCCACTCAGGTGTCCCGAAGAACACCTTTTTTAAAACAAACAGTAGGGACATAATTGCAAGTCCATATGAAGAAAAATATGAATCTCAACCCCTACTTCAGACCAGACATGACGATGATCCAGAAATGGATCATAGATCTACATGGAAACGCTTAATTTATAAAACTTCTGGAAGAAAACACTAGAAAAATTACCCATGGGACGCCTGGGTGGCTCAGTGGGTTAGGCGTCTGCCTTCAGCTAGGGTCATGGTCCCAGGGTCCTGGGATCGAGCCTCACATCGGGCTCCCTGCTCAGCCGGAAGCCTGCTTCTCCCTCTCCCACTCCCCCTGCTTGTGTTCCCTCTCTCGCTGTGTCTCTCTCCGTCAAATAAATAAAATCTTAAAAAAAAAAAAAGAAAAATTACTCATGACCTTGGGATGGACACAGAGTTCTTGGAGAGGACACAAAATAGCCTGAACCATAAAAAATTGATAAACTGAACATCATAAACTTCTGTTCAAGAGACATGATTAAGAAAATGAAGAAACCACAGACAAGGAGAAAATATTCACCAAACACATATTTCTTGGAGGATGTGTGTCCAGACCATACTTAAAAGCTCTCAGTAACAAGCACAATAAAAGGGAAGAAAAGAAGTAGACACTTCCTTGAAGATTGCAGACAAGCACACGAGCAGATGCTCAAAATCATTAGCCACAAGGAAGATGAAAATTGAAACCATAAGACGCCACCGATGCACACCTATCGGAATGGCTAAAACCGCGTTCCAACAAACTGACAATACCAGGGGCTGGCAAGGGTGCTGGACAGCCCGCAGCACCAGGGCCGGGCGACAAATGCAACTTGTCCAGACTTGTCAACACGCAAAATTCAAACGATTGAAAGTATTTAACACGAGAAAAATAAAAGAATTAGAATTTGAAAAGACACAGGGACACCTCGAAGGACCAACCCCCACCTCCCCTGCAGCCGATGATGGCACCTTCCAGTGTCAAAGACACAGTGACCACGATAGAAGCATGCAAATCCGAGACCAAACCCTCGAGCTCACAACCAGGCTAACCGTGTGCCTGGCTTTTCAGAGCTTGCTGGCTCACCAGGATAAAGGCCTGGTTTCCCCTCCCCACTTCACTTACCGTTTACTAGGCCCAAACGGGACCCCGTATGAACTAGGCAAGTCCCTCTCTGTGCAGACCAGAGCTGAGAAGGATGGACTCAGACGGACATGGGCGTGCGAGCCCCCACGCCACTTCGGATGCTGCTCGGAGGCCAGTGGGGCCTTTGCAGGGGAGGCGGGCAATGATGTCCCAGCCCGCCGCTCAATCCAGGCTGGACTTGGCCTCCGGTACTCAGGTAGCAGGGGCGCGGTGGGTGCGGGAGGGGCTGACAGTGGCACCGCGGGGCCCCCAGGCTGTTGTTTCTACGTCTGTGCAGCTCTGAAAACGGGAGGCACATCACTGTGAGGCGGATGGAAGAGACTCGCCATCTCTTTACACATTTAACTCCAGCAGCCGGTGGGCTGAGAAAGGCCTAGAGGCATATTTCGATGAAACAAATCCTGAATTATAAAGAGTAAGCTTGACCCAGACAGGGACCGCATGTTAAAATTTACATTGTTACATCAGAACTGTGTAATGTGGTCTTGCAACTGCTTTGCCAATTAGGGATCAGGAAGGCAACAGACAAAATGATTTATCATTCTCAGGTCACTGGAGTGAAATAGATATGCTTAACTACTTGTGGGATGTCACCTACTCACTCTCACGCACGCGTTCACATTGAACATGCAAGCCGCAGCGTCATCTTCCGGCTGGATGCTAAGAGCCGTGGGACCAAAGCTGAATTCCTTTCAAGGACCATGTCATGTCTCTGATCATGTCATTCTGAATGTTGGGTGCATTTGCTCGTCCAATGGCCATAATCAATAGTTTTGAAATTTTCAGCCCGTGCAATGGTTTGGCTGCATCAGCTTAGTTTCTATCTTCTGTCTGACTTTGGATAAATCACTTAAACTGTCTTTTTTTTTTTTTTAAGTCCGTACAGTAGGGTTAATCTCTTAGAGGGTCTTCACCAGCAACGGGGTCAGAGGAAGGCAGGCACAGTGCAGACCCCGTAGGCGTGCTTTCTCGTCCCGAAGGAGCGAGACCTCGCGCACCGTGGGGCAGACAGATCATTTACAGAGCCTCGAAAACCAAACCCCTGTGGCTGAAGGTCCAAAAAAGACCACCCCCGACACCCAGCTCGGCAAGGTGCTCGGGCCTGGCTTTCCTGCTGCTCTGGGCCAGGCTGCTCCCCTCCAGAACTAGGTCCGGGCTCTGCACACTGCCGTCTGCCCTCCAACTGCCTCCCATTCACATTTTCCGGCAGTGTTCTGTGCCTTCTGCCCACCGGAGCCAACTCGGAGACGGAGCATGGGAACCATGTGTCCCCGCCTGTGCGGCCCACCCTGGGGTGGTGGTGACTCACGGCTTCGGGGTGGGGACCCGAGCACCCTGAGCCCAGCTGGGCGCTGGTGGACGGAGGGCGGCGCCTTCCCGGGCTCTCTCTCCCGCCTCTGCTCAGCTGCCAGCGGCTTGCAGACTGGGGACGCGGGCCTCCAGCCCCCGCTGCCCGCCCTGAGTTTTCAGGTGCTGGTAATAAAGGTCCAACCACGTCCCCAGTTGCCTGTGGTTCTGGGGAGAGCCACTTCGCTTCCTTTCCCAGCCCTGCAGCTAATAATGCCTCCCTAAAGGGCCCGATGACATCACCGTGTGAAACGAAAACAAAGCTTCCAGGCACAGATGAATTTTCCGTCTGCCATTTCTGTAACGTGCACCAAGCAGGAGGGCCTGGGAGCTCCTTCGCGACCTGGAGGGAGCGAGCAAGAACTCCAAGACACCGCCAGGAAGGGCCTCCCTCCCCTGGGCCAGCGCGGGCTCCTTAGAAGACTGTTCAGTGCTTAGAACAACCTGGGCCGACAGACGCTCTCTGGAACCAGGGGAAGGTGGAGAGCAGGCCCGCACTGCTTCCCCACCTGCCGTGGGCACGTCCACCCGCAGGGAAGCACTCAGACGTCAGCCTCTCTGTCCAGACTCCCCCGCGGGCAGGGGCGCAGCAGATCCAGCCCCTGGTTGCTGGGGGCATTCCCCCCCCCCCCCGGCAAAGGGTTCACCCCCCTCCCTCCCAGAAGAGCCGGCTTTCCACGCTGGGAAGGGTTTGGTCGGAACAGGCTCACCCCCGCGCCGGAGGGCCGTCTGGGCGGAGCTCAGAACGAGCCCCAGATGTCCGTCCTCTGCACGCATGGGCACGTCATCCTCCCTACTCACACTCACCATGACACTGTCCTAACAAACTCAGACCGGGGTGTTTTTTAAAGTGCTCCCCGCGTCCCAGGAGAGCGGGGAAGCAGCAGGAGGAGGGGCCCTGACTGCCAGGTCCCTGGCGGCCCAGCGTCAGCCCTCATGGGTGGATGGCCACCTGCAGGACACGGTTTCTGGCACCCGAGGCTCCGTCTCCTCAACCCTCCGTCCCTGGAAACTTCATCTGAGCTGCTGGCCCCTGTCCCCGGTAGCGGGCCGGACTCTCCGACTCCTCATAAGGAGTCAGGGCCTCTGCTGAACCCTTGGGTACTCGGCGCTCGGTTGCTCGGAGCGGTTGGCTTGGGAGGGGGGTCAGCGCCCCGCGAAGCACAAGGCGTTCCTGTGAGAGGCACTCACCAGTGGACAACGCGCTGCAGGCTGCTGAGCGCACGGCCAGAGGTCGAGAGGGCGGCCTGCAGACCAGGCTCCCGGCCGAGCCAGGAGCTGATGAGAAGCCACAGCCTGAGCTGCCACGGCCAGGGCCCCCAGACGTGCACAGGCCTCACAGGGACCAGCTTCCACCAGGCCGCCCGAGGACTGAGGAAACGTCATGGCCACTCAGGAGGGTGACAAGTGTCAGGAAAACTCACAAAACACGTTGAAATGGGCAGAGAAAGGAAATGGTGACCAAGCATGCGGCCTGGTGCTCTGCGTTTCCGTCTGGGGGCTGTTTCACAAGGTACGAGACTGGGTAGTGGCGGCTCCTGTCCACAGAGGGGCCAACGGGCGGTGTCTGCACCCACAGGCCGACCCCGGGTCTCTGCAAAGTCCCACCAGCATTCCGCAGGGGAGCCCTGGAATCTCCTTTGAAATGCTCGCGGCGTCTTACGGATTCTCTCACTAGATCTTGGGTTCCTTAGAACATCTGACGTGTGTGCATTCTCTCTTGGCTTAAGTCAGAATGTTCTTTTAAACAGGATCCTTCTCCATCACGGTTCCGCGGGTAAATGAGGCAACCTGCGCCCAGGTGGGCCCGCTCTACCCCCCGGACCCAGGAGAGTGAGCCTCTCGGCGCGTTGGTGAACTCCCTAACATCCTGTCTACTCAACCTCTGCGCTTCAGATGACGAAGCTGGAGTTCTGCTCATGTGGGGTTAAGGAGACGAGTGACCAAACCAGCAGACTCTGCTCCTAATCCATCATGGGCCCCTCGGCCGCGCCTCCGCCCTGAGTGCGTGGACGCTGCTGTCCTGCTCTGACAGGAGGCTCCACCCAAAGGCCTTCGCTCCACAGGGCCATCCTGGGAACAGAGGTCCCCAAGTGCCACCAAGTATTCGCAGAGAAACTACCACCTTCAAAAGCTCTAGGGCAGCTTCTCAATATAGGAATGCAGGTGGGCAACTAACCATCCATCCACAGAAAAAAAAAATTCTGTACGTATGACCGGGAGAGGGAGGGAGGGAGGGAGGGAGGAGCAGAGACAAACCCCACGTCCTGTCTCTCAAGGCCTTGGGGGAGCTGTTTCCTCCCTGGATGTTTCCTGGCCTGCAGCTGAAATGCAGTTATGAGACCCTCCGGGGCCCCTGCAGTATCCCCACACTTCAGCGAATACAAACACCCCCAAGGACGGGGGTCTAAATGCAGACTCCCAGGATCTGCCCACAGAGATTCCAGACCTGAAAGTCTTGGGGGGTGCCTGGCAATCTGCATTTTCGGTGGGCAGGCCCTGTGGTTTCCGAGACAGTGCTCCCACCCGACAGTGGTGGGCCGGGGGCCCATCCACGGTCTGGGACACGAAGGGCTCCACACGAGGAGCCACTGAACTTGGATAAGAAACAAAATCGCATCTTCATTTTCACGACCCTTTGGCTAAAATGGAGCATCTCCAGCAAGTACAAATGTCGGCCCCAAAGCGCAGGAGAGTTGGCAGCACCCGGGACTCTGTTCCCAGTGCAGCCGCGGCCGACGTCACAGGTACCCTGCGCGTCCTGCACCACGCTGTGGGTACAGAGTGGCCTCGTGATCTCCGTGGAAGCATGTCATTTGGCCTGACTGGCTTTATGGGGCATCTGTCCCACAGCAGAGCTGGGCCCTTCCCTACGTCCAGAATTTTGGTTTTATCTTGCAGGTCTGAAATCTTGACTCCGAGACCATGATGGTTAGGAAGCCCTGATCTGAGCGGGGAGCACCAGCAGCACTGATGCACGTGGCCCAGGAAGGAGACGTCTCAACAAGGAGGGAAGATCCCCCTGATGTTGCACCTGGGTGCAGCACGCCCTCAGCTGCCCTTCTGGAGGGTGGCTGACGGCGTGTGCAGGGTAGGCCCCTACCCCCATACAAACGCAGGAGCACGGAGAGGCTGACTGAGGGAGGGAGGGAACACGCAGTGAGGTCCCGCTTCCTCACGTCGTGGTCACGACGCCTGGGGGAGGCGACATGGGGACAAGAAGACGCCATCCCCAAAGCCTCCCTGCTACTCAGAGAGAGAACAGTGCTCAGCTCCGATCAGGCCGAGGGGAGCAAGGGAGCTGCATGCCCACGCGGCCTGTCGGAGCCCGTTGGGTTGGAGATGGGGGCCCAGAGAGATTGAGGGGCTCACCCAAGGCGACACAGTAGGAAGTGCCGAAGCCAGGCCTCTCACCAGGTTCCGGGGCCCAAGTGGGCCGGCTCCCTCTCCAGTAAGCGGCTCTCTGTCTGGCAGATACACCGCAGTGCGTGCCCGTCCGGGCCCAGAGGGCTTCCTGAGGGCACGTGCCCCGGCGACCAAGGGACCCCGTCCCCAGGCCAGACCCAGCTGTCGGTCTCTTGACCACTGCTGCCCAAGGGGCCACACCTTCCCCGAGCCTGTGTGCGGGGGCCGCCGGGAGGAGCGGAGCCGAAAGCTTGGCTCAGGCCTAGAACCCTCAGGACAGAAGCAAGCCGCCCCCGCCGAGAGCTCTTACTGCCCCACGACAGGCAGGGACATGGCCTCCACGCCAGCAGCGGCGCGGCCGTCTAGCTCCCGAGGCTAGAGGGACGCCCACCTTCTAGAGCCAGTGACCCAGAGCGCACGCAGACGTGTCCTCTCGTTGGAAGTGGGGAGACGAAGGAGTTCTGGGGGGGTGGCAGCCGGTGCCAGCCAAGGCCCAGCGTGCCTGGTAGAAACCCTGCTCTGCCACTCGCTAGCTGCGTGACGTGGGGCAAGGGGCTGGACCTCTCTGTGCTTCCCTCCCCCCTTCTGTGTTGGCACACGACAGGTGTTCAGTAAATATCCAAAGTGGACACTGAGTATGCACCTTTGATGGGAACGCCCACTAACGTCACTACAGAGGCCCTACGACCTTCAAAACATGCCCCCTCCCCGTCCACACTGACAACTTCAGAGGTTACTCATCCGTTAGCAAGACTCAGACACACTGAGTCCCCAAGGGAGCCCAGCGGGGTCAAGACCTTCTCGGGAAAGCCCCGCCTCTCCCTGTCACTACCGTCTGGGGAGGAACTTGGAGCGTGTGGCCTCTGTCTGAGCCTCAGAAGCCAGCCCTCCAGAGACTCCCCGTGACTCAGACACCAACTACTCAGGGACCTCGGTCACCTCTCCAAGCTAAACAAGGATGAAAGAGAAAAAATAAGAGTTTGTGGCGCTCTTCCTTGGTTTTCCCCCTTCTCTAAAACTTTTAGTTGTAAAATGATAAATTCACCGGGAATTGAGCAGAAACACAGTGGAGGTCCCGTGTGCCCTTCCCCTGCTCCTGTCCCTGCTGTGCTCGCATCTTGCACAATCGTGGGGTGATGTCATCGCAACAGCAAATGCAGGAGC